CCCCAAAACCCCAAAACCCCAAAACCCCAAAACCCCAAAAAATATTTAAACTACTGATTCTGCAACTTTATTAAAAATAAATGGAAAGTTGAGAATCAGAGAATTTCAGCCATGACCAAGAAAATGCTAAGGATAGTGAAGAGTACTCTCATGAGCAAATGAGCTGAGTTGATGAAGACTATGCACCCGCCAATGAGCCTCAGAGTTCTAGGGATGAAGAAAGCAGTAAGTTTTGTACACAAGGGCTGAAATTTGTGATAGTGTCATGAAATACTCTATGAACTACATCTAACTCAGTTAGGGCTACGGTAGCTCTGGCAATAATAGAGAGCCTAATATGTAGAACTCTAATTTGAGCTAGGTTTTTCTCAGATAGGTGTCAAGACTATTTCATAAAATCCATTTTCTCTATTAATCGAAAACAACAGTAAACAAATTGAAGCAACTTATCGTATTTTACCCCTTGCATATTTTATTAAACCCTTTCTCTCTTCCAATAATAAAATTCAATCGAATTCCAGGACTAATCTTTATGCTAGGTGAAAGCACAGAGCTAAGCTTCAATGCTTTGGAGAGAAAGCTCACAATGCGTCCTCCAGATTTCAAGATGTCATGGACTCACCTCAAAGCAAACAAAGTTAAAGTGATAGACACTGAAAAAGAGCAAGACTTATACGACCTCAAAAACTATTGTCCTTGCTGTGTGGTACCCAAGGAGAAAATAACAAAAGATATCCCTCTCTGTGTAGATAGTCGTGAGCTTGATGTTCTTGGAAGTGGATTTCCACTGTATTATCATTCTAAGAAATTCAGCATCATTATCTTTGTCTTGATGACTTTGATAGTGGGAATACCTTGAATGATCATTAACATTCAGCAAGGAAATGTTGAAGATTGATGGGACTGGCCGGCTAGAATTCTATTTAGAACGACTATAGCCAAGTACATTGATGAATATGGCTTTTATTGGTGTGAAGGTAGGAAAATAGTTAAGAGAATCTATTTAAAATACTTAGAATAAGGTTAAACATCAAAAACATCTACGAGTTCTTGTTACTGTAAAATTTATACATTTTTTAATAATAATAAACACTATCGTTAGGTGGATGCTTATTTCCTTCATATAAACCTATGCAAAACTCTCAAAATATTATTTTAGCTCCAACCTTAATCCGCACTTCTATTATCTTAAGGTATAATTACAAAAGAAGGAATAATTTCAAAATAATTCGAACCTAATACTGCTTTAAAATTTATTATTTATCTTCTTAAATTTTCATTCGAAAACTCTTTTATTTTAACTTTTCAATTATTTTTCCTAACTATTCATGGCTTGTTCAGAGTTCTAAAACCTCAAATTCCCTAGCTTTAGTTCTAAATACTATTCTTGAGATGTATACAGTAAGGTTGCCTTAAAATGTTGTTCTCTGAACCAATTAAACCTTTCTAAACCCTCAGACTGCATGGAAGGTATTTAAAGTGTCTTTAGTTTAGGGTTAGTCGTTCTTGCTCGGATTAGTAGTTTCTTGAAATTTTTATCGAAATTATTCATCATTTTCGCTATAATAATGATTTAGATCAGAGTAGCAGTTATTATGGGTACATATGACCAAGAGAAATTTCTTATTTTGAGGTTCATTTGGCTCTCAACTTTTGCTTTATCTTGATACTTTTTATTGCTAGCATTTTCTTGAGGGTATATCAAAGCAAGATTATTTCAGAGATAGATGAAGAAAACATCACTCCTTCTGATTTTGGTCTCATGGTCAGCAACGTCCCCGAAGACAAGCGTCCTGATGAACTCAAAAATTGGTTCAAAGAGAAGTTCCCTGATGTAGATATTGCTTATGTTAACTACTGCTACAACATCGAAAAATTAGTTAAAATCACAAGGAAGATTGAAGCCTTAGAGGCAAAGAAAACTACCCTAGAAGCTTACAAGGACAAAATTCTTGAAGATAAAGGTTTGACTGAACAAGATGCTGCCGAACAAGGTGTAAGAGTTACTCCCATTAAGTATTTCTGCTGAATCAAAAGAGCATCCATCGACATAGAGGCCCTAGAGAATAAGATTCTGAAAGCTCAGGAAGAACAGAAGGAAGTTATAGAATCAATGGGAAAACTCAAAGATTCTAAATACTTTAGCGGAAAAACTTTTGTTGTTCTGAATAAACAAACTGAAGCAACAAAGATCTTAGAATATTTTGAAACCACTTTGATCTCAAGAGCTTACAGTGAAGTATTGTTTGCATGCAAGAAGATTAATCAAAACATAAGAAAAATATAAATTGGGATGAGAACTTGATTTATGTTAAAAGAGCTCCAGAACCTGAGGATATCTATTGGGAAAACCTCAATGTATCCACGAAAATTAGATTTTGAAAAATTTTTATAACCACTGTTGTTACTGTGATTTGCTTGTTCATTTCTTTTTGTATTAATATTGCTATTAAGAGTTATTCCAAGTCTTTATTTGATAAAAATTCAGATACTTGATCATATAGCCAGAGTAGCTCTAGGGAAGACAACAGAATGTTAAAGATAAGCTCTTTTACTATTTCAAGTCTTGTTATTTTTGTTAATCTTTTGCTTTGCAAAATAGTCAGAACATTAAGTTATTACGAAAGGCATGAAACACACACAAAATATCATCTTTCAGTCGCAATCAAACTTACAATAGCTATGTTTGCAAACACAGTATTGATTCCATATATTAGTAATGTCGGAGGATTTTATGGTGATACCTTTCGAACACTAGTAATAGATGTGTTCTTTATATCCTTATCAGTTTCTTTTATTACTCCTTTGGTTTATCTGTTTGATCCAGCTTATTTATTCAAGCTTTTCAAACGATGGAGAGAAGAGAGAAAAGGAGAAAAATCTATGCTCACTCAAAAGCAAGCAAACAAACTCTTTGAGGGGCCTCCATTTGATATGGCTCAAAGGTATGCAAATACTATGCTTTTAATTTGTCTGGCAGTTTTCTATATTTCTAGAATCCCAATTGTTTCCATTATTTTACTTTTTGGAGCTGTGTTCCAATATTGGCTTGAGAAATACTTACTTTTAAGAAGACATAAAAGACCTGAGAAATTCAGTCATGAAATGAGTCAGGTGTTTAGCAATATGGTGCCATTTCTTTGCCTTCTTTATGGGATGTCTCTATTTGATACATCTTGGAGTGTTTACAAAACAATAAAACCTATCAGCTATATGTATTTGATTGTTCCTTTGCTATTACTTATTCTACCAATTTGAAACGTATTTAAGAAATGTCAGAAAGATATTCATAAAAATGATGTTTGCACTCATAAAGAAGAGAGAATGGACTTTCTCACTGACTATGATCGTTGTAACCCAGCTACTGCAAAATCTGCGAGAATAACACATCAACGAAGATTAGAAGCAGCTACTATCAATCCTAACATTGGCCTTAAAATCAATGAAGATGAAGATAGCTTTGAAGGAATTCGTAGGTATGGGCGTGAGCCAAAATTCTTAGAAGGTAGGCCAAACAATCTTCTGGAAAAAATGCAAACAATGATCAATCTTCGCGGAATGAAAACCTTCAGAGGCAAAAAGCCCAAATCCTCCAGAAACCCAATCCCCCACTCAGACCCTCAAGACATATCCAGTGACGAAGAATCAAAAACCCCCTCAAATCCCTCCAAACCACCCCTAAACTCCCCCTCTCCAGACACCCCTCCCACCCAAAGACCCCTAAAATCCCTAAAAACCACCCTCCCCCCCCCCCCCAACTCCTGCACCCCTTCAGACTCCTATTCCTGTACCTCCTAAAATCCCCTTCACCCACCCCTAATCTCCCCAAATTCCACTCCTTCTCTACCTTTCCCATCCAAATTCTCATCCTGAGGCTCACTGTGGCTTCTTCTTCTTGTACGTAGATTTTTAGTAGTGGTTAAGACCTGTAACTGGGCTTTATCAACCCCACAAAATAAATTCCGAATTCTAACCTCTCCCTTATATTTCAACCCCTATTCTATCTTCTGGGGTTTTGGGGTTTTGGGGTTTTGGGGTTTTGGGG